TATGGTGCATATATTTAGCAACATGCCCCTCTCTACAGTTTATTTTTCTAGCTGACTAACGAGTTTATGGTCACGAATATGTTTTTCTGAGGTAAATGTGACGTTACGTGACATTGTTTACAAGCCGTTATATTGACGCCTTCGCGCGACTGAAACACTGATTGAGCGATTACATGAGACCGGATACGGATTGTAATGTTGTACTCTTTCTTTTAACTTGCCTTCGGATGTTTAGTCATGTTTATTTTGTGCTATAACTAGTATTAAATCGGAGGAGATGATCAGTTCACGTGTGCCTCGCGCTGCTGCGTCTGTTGAACTGATGAGCGATTACATGAGACAGGATACAGATTGTAAAGTTGTACTCTTTCTTTTAACTTGCCTTCGGATGTTTAGTCATGTTTATTTTGTGCTATAACTAGTATTAAATCGGAGGAGATGATCAGTTCACGTGTGCCTCGCGCTGCTGCGTCTGTTGAACTGAGGCGCTACAGCGATCTGTCACTCCACTTTAAACGGCGCCAAAACGGCATTTATTGTTTGGATACTGCAATACAATGGAGAGAATTTGAAATCTGAGACTTTCATATTAAAAGCACCAAAGCACAAGGCTTATTGCGATTTATTGGATGGGAAGTGCCCTTCAATGTTCCGTCCATTAACTGAAAACAGGCTAGACTAATCGATTCTTGGGATTTAAAGGCAGGGTATGTGATTTTTCAAAAACACTTTAGAAAACTGATTCGGGCCGAATAGCAAAACAAACTTGTAGCCAATCAGCAGCCGAGCGACAGAGAGATAGAGATGGTGGATAAAAAACAAAAGAGGAAAACGTCTGCGGAACGATAAGGCAAGAAGTAGGACCCGTGTAAATATCGGATCAGCTTTCCAGCGCTGGAGAGAACTTAAGGAGCGGAGGCCTGCGATCGGACGCCGAGGTTGCTTTGTTTCTTCTCAATGGGTGAGTAACACTGTGTCTACAACAGCTAAAGTCTGCCTACACTGGACGCGATCAAACGACCGTTGAAAACCATTTGAAATTTGTGTCAGCACGTCATAAATAGAACCTGGCAGCAGTTTTCTGTCGGGGATTTGTTGCGCCGCGCTGTGCCGCTCACGTCCGTAGACACGGTGTAACATTGGTTTTGCTTTGTTTCACAGAATTAATCGTTGCCTGGGTTGCGTACGTATATGTGGGGCGGAGCTATCAAAATAGGGGCAAGACCCTTTTGGGGTAGGGGCGTGTTTGTTTTGGTGATTTCAAATATCAACATTGGCTACCAGAAATCACTTACTCTGCCTTTAAGAATAGATATCGTTCCGTAAAAATGAGAATCGATTAAAATCGAGATATCGATATTTTTTTACCCAGACCTAGTTCCAAACAGGTTGAATAATCAAGGTCTCGTGATTGCAGTTTAAGTAGTGTTGTTTATAACTGGGTGTGTGTTCAGGGTGATGCACGTGTGATGGATGAGCAGATGAAGGAGCAGGAACTCTTAGAGCAGCAGAAACGGGTGAGAAAATACTTATTCCTGTTTTTAACCGTGCTGCTAGATTTCAAAGGATTTGTCATACTGCACAATCATTTACAGCTGTATAATTGTGAATTATTTTCTATGCACTACCTTTCAAACTTTTGGGGTCAGTGCAATTATTTAATAATAAATAAATTAGTACTTTTATTTAGCAGTTGTCTTATTTAGCATGTAGCAACCTGTATTGCTGTACTTACCTGTGCACATTCTTCTAGTACATACCTGTTCATCTGAATATTTATTGTGCCTTCATCTGAGTGTTTATTAAGTCTATTGTGTAATGTCCTGTACTTCCCAGGCTTCTTTCTTTACTATCTTATCTCTGTTTATTTTTTGTTATGTACTATAAAGTATTATAAACATTTATAATTTATAAAAATAATTGCACAGTCTATGAAGCGGACCTGATTTACATTTCACTGCTGGTTATATATTCTCAATATAACCGTGTACGTGACAAATAACAATCTTGGATCTATGGAGGACACTTTAAATTGATCAAAAGTAACAGTAAAGTCATTTATAATGTTACAAATTATTTCTGCGTCAAATAAATGCTGCTCTTTTGAACTTTCTATTCATCAAAGAATCGAGAATTATTTTTTTGGTTTTTACAATTTCCACAAAAATATGAAGCATCACAACTGTTTTCAACATCGATAATAATCAGAAATGTTTCTTGAGCAGCAAATCAGCATATTAGAATGATTTCTGTAGAATCATGTGACACTGAAGACTGGAGTAATGATGCTTGAAATTCAGCTTTGATCACAGAAATAAATTACATTTTAAAATATATTAAAATAGAAAACAGTTATTTTTAATTGTTACAATTTCACAATTGCTGTTTTTACTGTATAAATGCAGCTTTGTATGGGCATAAGAGACTTCTTTTAGAAATAATAATAAATAAATTTGAACTTTTGAACAGAGTTGTAAATGTTTTGCTGCATATTCTGTGATGTATATTGTGTATGCATGACATTTGTACAAAGAAACCTGTGACATTTCACTTATCAGATTCAGACATTTATTCTTTGATTTGGTATGAATGATTCTGAAACGGATGTTTGTCTCCGTCTCTCAGGCTGCTGTGCTTCTGGAACATGAGAGGCAGCAGGAACTTGCTAAAATCCAGCAGGGGTCGGCACCAGGCACCAGAGGACCTGAACTGGGACCACGACCCAACCTCCTGCCCCCCATCCCGCCTCTCAGAGGTCAGCCGCCCAACAGCCTTCATACTGGAGAAATATGTGAAAACACTCATTCACCGTGATGCTTTCGTTAGCAACAATTTATGCTCGGACCTCAAATCATGTCAACCTAACATCAGATCATGCTGACTGGATGTCTTTTGTTTTTATTTTACTAAGAAAGTATAGACACTACAGGCAAAACATAGTTTTTTTTCATGCACTGGTCACTTTTGATCAACTTTTCATTAAGTGTTGTTTCAGAATCGTAAAAAGAAAACATTCAAAGCACCTATAGATTTTAATTGTAATACAAAACCCCCTTCTATAAAAACCTTTAATATGTCAACAAAATGAAAATAATTTTGAACCTGGCTTTATCTGATGTTCAGATTTGTTTTCTGGAAATCGAATGCATGTTTAAGTAGATAATTCCTTAATTGCATGTTTAAACGTAACATTTCAGAAAACTTGTAACACAAAAAAAAAAAGTTTGCTTTTCTTAATGCGTTCAATGAACTGAGGGAGTATGGTTTATCTTTTAGTTTATTTTCTTTTTTTACCCGTTTCATCTAATCTGTCTTGCCTTTCGACAACCAGACTAGATTAAAATGACTACAGCCTGCACATCTGTTTTTAATCAGGTTGATTTTTACTGTAAACATGATTTCTGTTCTCCTGTAGTTGGGACTCTGAGTGGCCCCGCCCCTCCAGGTGTTTCTATGATGCCCCAATCTGTCAATCAGCGACAGAAAGTCCCGCCTCCTCCGGGGGAAGACGGCAGAGAGGTACGAGAAGCCTGAAAGCCTCGATGCATGATCGGTTGAACTCGATCTCTTCAGTGATCTTGACGTGTGTGTTTTTGTGTTCAGTCGTGGCAGGGTGAAGATGTCGGCATCGGGCCGAAGATTCCTCAGGCTCTGGAGAAGATCCTGCAGCTGAAGGAAATGAGGCAGGAGCAGCTCAGCACCGCCCCTACAGGTCGCTATCAGCATGCTCAAACACTGCCTTAATGTCCATAATGATCATAGTTATGAGATGAGAGCACTTGAGCACATCATGTCTAATTACCAGTTGGAGAAACACTTAATTTACTTTTGAGACTCGAGTTTGCAAGCTGAGAATTAATGAAATCATAGTAAAGGTTAATGCTGGTAATTATTAAGTTTAATTAATTTTAGGTTGTGCTTCGTTATGTGGTTTGTAATGTGTGTGTGTGTGTGTATAATGCATCTCTTGATATTTCTTTCTGTCTGTTTTAAAGTAATTCATTAAATTAACCCTTTGCACTGTTTATTCAGAATTTGTTCAACGAATTTGAGCTTTCTATATTGATCAAAAATACAGTAAAAACTATGAAATATTACAATTTAAAGAACTATTGTCTGTTGTAATATATGTTAAAATTTAATTTATTTCTGTGATCAAAGCTGAATTTTCAGCATCATTACTCCAGTCTTCAGTGTCACATGATCCTTCAGAAACCATTATAATATGCTCATTTGCTGCTCAGGAAACATTTCTGATTATTATCAATGTTGAAAACAGTCGTGCTGCTTCGTGTTTTTTGTAGAAACCATGATATATTTTATTTTTCATGATTCTTTAATGAATAGAAAGTTCAAAAGAACAGTACTTATTTGAAACCGAAAACTTTCGAAATGTTACAAATGTATTTACTGTCACTTCTGATCAATTTAATGCATCCTTGCCGAATAGAAGTATTAATTACTTTAAAAAAAAATAAAAATTTAAACCCAAATATTTAAACAATAGTATGCATTTCCCATCATTCTCACTCTTGCGCTTCATTTTGTTGTATTAATGCAAAAAATGCATTCTTTTGTAAGACCGTGCTTACATTTACACAATGTAGAAATAATTTCTGTGGCTGGTTTTATCCACAGAGGAGGATGATGATGAACAGACCGGCGAGATGGACTTGAACAGTTCCTCTGCCCGCGGATTCTCCGATGAGGACGATGAAAGCGGTCTTTCTAAAAAAGACGTAGGTTTCCTTGCGTCATCAGCCTTTGCGAGGCTCTCTAAATTGCTGTTCTGCAAACTTTTACTGAATTTCTCCTAGGGCTGGCGATATAGCTAAAAAATTTATCAACGATATAATTCATATCGTTCGGTATTGATAATTATTGACATTTTTTATAACCTTTTTTAAAACAAAGAGCAGTAGAAAAAATGTTTTTACATTTAACCACTGTATTTTTAAATTAACCCAATTTATTGAGACAATGAATATCTCATTTCTAATGTTTTATATGCAGATTTCCCGAGGCCACAGGAGGGCGCAATGAGCAAAATAATGCAGCACATTTAAATTGTCAACGCAAGGAAGTAACTCTATAAAAATGTGCATTACGTCTAAATTAACTCATACAAATCAAATATAATTTCGTAAATTGCATAAACAATTATGAACAAAACAAAACATATGGAATGCATCATGTATTTATGCATTGCTTAATCCAAAGAGCCGAAGCGCCATTCACACAGATTGCATTTAAAAACATAAGAGACGCAGAGAAAAGGAATAAACCTCCACAGATTCGTGACGTGTTTTCTAAACGTTTATACTGTTTTAACTTTGCATGGCTTTCTATACATCTCTTGTGAGACGCGAGTGCAGCAGTCGTATTTGTCCGCCTAAAAAATGCGCTGAATATGCATTCTGTGTGAATGGCTTGGTTTCGGTTTTAACTTAATCAAGATCTTCTCCGCATTGAGCTTCTATATTTCTCTAATATTATGAATGAATAACTCCGCAGCGGCGCGTCTCGTGGGCTAGACTAACAAAACATTAAAATGCAACAACGTCACTTACACTCATTTCAGCAGGGTTGGGTACCGTTCACATTTAAACCGGTACGGTACCGGTATCGGTACCTGAATTTCGGTAACGGTACCTTTTTTCGGTACTTTACTCTGTGTAATTACAAAAACATTTCAGTGAAAAAATAAGTCCAAAAGTTTCAATTTCAACATTTTGAACAATAGGGCCCTTCAAACTTTCTTTCTTTCTTTCCTTTTTTTTTTTTCAGAAATTCTTGTTTTAATTTTTCAGAAAATCAAATGTTCTCTTTCTGTAGCGTATGCGCCCAGATGCGTTCTCAGGTACCGAAATTTGGCACCGGTTGATTTAACGTGAATCGGTACTCTGTAGTACCGACGCAATTCGGTCGGTACCCTTAAAAGTACCGAGTTCGGTACCCAACCCTACTCATAGCACGTACCTATATCGTGCACTATATCTAAAATTTTTTATATCGTTATCGAAGGAGGTGTACGGTCGATAAATATCAATACCGTTTTATCGCCCAGGCCTTAATTTTCTCGTTTATTTATAGAAAAACCGCAAGCGCAGGAACAGGAAGAAGAAGAACAAGAAGAAGAGGCAGCAGGAAAAGGAGCAGCAGGAGGAGGAGAAAAAGAAAGAGGAGAGCCGTGACAAGGAGCCCGAGGTGGAGATCGAGTATGTGACGGAGGAGCCTGCGATCTACGACCCAAGCTACATCATCTTCAAGAGGATCTTTGAGACGTTCAAGGTCAGAAGCTTTAGACTTCATAACAGGATCAGAAATATGATGGAAAATGCGGCGTTTCTTTATATGTTGAGATGAAAGTAGTGTAACGTTAAGAGTCCAGAACGATCATTTGTTGAAACTAAACTGCAAAACTTTGTGTTTGATATGAGAAAATGAAAAGAATGGAGCTTGTTTGGTGTTGCATCTCGATCTTTTGATCTGCTGCATAGTTCAAACTCCTCCATCACGGTTTGACATCCATCCTGCTTCGTTCACCTAGACTGGTGTTTTAAAGACTGAAAATAACTCCCATATTTTGATGGATGTGCCATTCAATGGTTTTCTATCACAGCTGTCAGATGATTTGAAAAAGGAGAAGGAAAAGGAGCCAGAGAAGCCCGAAAAGCCAGAAATCCTTTCATTTAAGAAGAAGGGGTTTGAACTGGAGAAGCAAGACAGCGATGACAGTGACGAGGTGAGTTGAAGGCCTTGTGAGAGTCTTCCAGCCCTGATGATGTTCCTGTCTAACCCCTCCGCTTCCTGTTTGACAGGAAAACAAGAAGGACATGCCCAAGCTGTCCAAAAAGAAACTGAGGAGGATGAACAGGCTGACGGTGGCAGAACTCAAACAGGTAACAAATGGAACATTTCTGTTTATTTTCTCTTAATTTGAACCAAATTACTCCTGAAAGCACCTCAGAGTTCAGTGCGTTTAGATTCAAATGTATAGTAAATGTAAGGGGGAAAGGTGTTTTTAAATATCTACTTAAATGAATTGTTCACCCAAAAATGAAGGTCATCCAAGTAGGGCTGCACGATTATGACAAAAATCATAATTGTCGATTATTCCCTTGTAATTGTGATTTTATTAATTACGATTATCAAAATTTACATTGAATGATGTTTATACCATTGTTTGATGCAACTGCATGCCGTATTTTTATATGAAAATAAACAAGCTAAAAACCTTTAGTGCTTTTCTATAGTATTAAGCCTCAAATGTCAAATATACATCGGATTGGTTTCTTCTTTAAATTATAAAAAAAGAAAAAATATGAATGGTGTTATAATGTTATACTAAAAACTAAAAGAATGGAAAAACCCTTAAGATAACATGTAGGAAGAAAAAAACATATCTTAAGCGTGCAGAATAACATAAGTGGACTTTGAACGATTAATTGCCGCTTTGAACGATTACATAATTGTGGCATCCGTAATTGTAATCGCGATTAGAAATTAGATTAATTGTGCAGCCCTACTCACAAGATATAGATGAGTTTGTTAGTTTAGCTTATCATTCACATAATATATTCTAGTCATTCCAGTGGAAATGTTTGGTATTTTCTGAGCTAATGGCAGGTACAGTTGAATGATCACGCTTCATAATGTTTGTCCTCCTCTGTCCCTCAGCTCGTGGCGCGTCCAGATGTGGTGGAGATGCACGACGTGACGGCGCAGGAGCCCAAGCTGCTGGTGCACCTGAAGGCCTCCAGGAACACGGTGCCTGTGCCACGTCACTGGTGCTTCAAGAGGAAGTACCTGCAGGGCAAGAGAGGCATAGAGAAACCTCCGTTTGAGCTGCCCGAGTTCATCAAGAGAACCGGCATCCAGGAGATGAGAGAAGCCCTGCAGGAGAAGGTCATGTCACGCTAATGTATCTCAGTTCCCACAAACACATGAAGCAGCACAACTGTCTTCAGCACTGATAATAATCAGAAATGTTTCTTGAGCAGCAAATCAGCATATTAGAATGATTTCTGAAGGATCATGTGACACTGAAGAATATACATGTATGTGTGTAATGTTACGTAATTTGTAGAACTTAAAAATGTAAGCAATTTTTTTTTTTTACAAGTTAATATATTTAAAATTATGTAGGTATATGTGTGTATGAGTGTGTTTACAATTTGCTTAGTTTTAGATTCTAAAACTGTGATATAAAGTATATATTTTTTATTTTATATGTATGCATTTTTACTTTTTAAGCAATTTTAAAAATGTAAATATGTATTCAAATTTATTTTTTATATTAATATTTAACATTATTTTATTTATTTGTGCATTTCTTTGGCTAGAAAGTACGGTTTGAGTGCAATCTCTATAAAATAATCATTAGTCAAGGAAGTCTGAAAGTTCATTAGTCAAAGTAGTTTGCCTGCAGCATGCGGTTGTAATTTTTCACAATTAATACTTCCAACAGTGATATGCAAAAGAGACTTTTGTCAGTAATTTGGTATAAAGTAACGTGCATTACTTGTAACACTGATCTAATGAAAAACAAAAGCACATCGGTCTCTAATACAGGATCTGACGTACACAAGATATTCATTAAAAGCTGTTCTACTAAAGCTGATTATTAGTGTAGAGGTCATATAAAGCTGTGAGATCTTCATACTTATCTCTGTGTGTTGTGTATGTGTGTCTTTCAGGGCTGTTCCTTTGGCTATCATGCGGGCGGTTGGGGTAAACCTCCTGTGGACGAGACGGGCAGACCGCTGTATGGAGACGTGTTCGGAACCAACGCCATAGACTTCCAGGTGAGCAAACTACAGAATCATGTCCTGAACATACAGACTCCTTTACATGGCATTGCTAGACACTAGATACCACAACCTGTGATAATCAGAAATGTTTCTTGAGCAGCAAATCAGCATATTAGAATGATTTCTGAAGGATCATGTGACACTGAAGACTGGAGTAATGATGCTGAAAATTCAGCTTTGATCACAGGAATAAATTTCATTTTACAATAGATTCCCATAGAAACAGTTCTTTTAAATTGTAAAAATATTTCACTGTTTGTAATGTATTTTAAATTAAATAAATGCAGACTTGAGCATGAAAATTATTTCAAAATCATAAAAAAAAAAAAAATCTTACCAACCCTAAACTTTTGAACAGTAGTATAGAAAACTTAATATGCATAGGCTATTTAGTGCTTAATATAATATATGCATATCTGATGCTTATTCATATTACACTTGGCTCATTCTGTTCCTGAACCGAAGTTCATTAAAAGCAGATTGTTGCAGTTTGAATTAAGATTAGACCATTTGAAAGCAACAACAGTGTGCAGAACCATTATATTATTGTCTGTTATATAAAAAAAATGGGACAGCAGACTTTAATGAAATCTGTCAAACTTGCGGGGAGCAGCTCGGTGTTTCGTTTCTGTCTGTAAATGTGCCGCATGAGCTCCTGAGGCCTTCAGCAGTTTTCATACGAGATCGCACTTGAGTGACGTTTATAATATAGTGAATCCGCTTCATTTAAACAGATGTATTTCCCGCTGCTGTCAGCTTCACTGACGTCTCCGTATCCCTGCAGGAAGACGCCAAAACCATGAAGACCAAAATGAGAGAGAAAGTTCGGCCCAAGATGGGGAAGATCGACATCGACTACCAGAAGCTGCATGACGCCTTCTTCAAATGGCAGATCAAACCGAAGCTCACGATACACGGGGACCTGTATTATGAGGTGCGCCTGCTTTACCTGATCATCCTGTCAGTTATGATGACACTTCCTGCAGCATAAATAACTCGTCTGGTTGTTGTGTCAGGGAAAAGAGTTCGAGACGCGGCTGAAGGAGAAGAAACCAGGGGATCTGTCCGCTGAGCTGCGAATCGCGCTCGGGATGCCCACAGGACCCGTGAGTGCTTCCTCCTGCTCTGCTTTACACAACAACGCATTTCCTTTTTGCACGAAGCAACTGTTGTTTTGTTCTGTGATATTGCAGGAGAGCTTTTCATGCACTAGGCACTTATGTAATTCTTTCTTTGTAATTTTAGCTGTGCTTTTAAAATGCATTTGTCTCTGCAGAACTCTCACAAAGTTCCCCCGCCATGGCTGATCGCCATGCAGAGATACGGACCTCCACCCTCGTATCCAAACCTGAAGATCCCCGGCCTCAACGCCCCCATCCCTGAGGTCAGACACTGAGGAAGAAGTTTTCGAAATGCTACTTTTAAAAGTAAAGCAGCTACCAGCACTTTGAGAGTCGAAAAAGCATATACCACTAGATACCACAACCTGTGAGATAGGGCTGTCAAAATGGCTGAAAAACTAAATTCGAATTTTGTACTTGAATATGATCAAAATTCTAATTATATTCGAATTTAAAAGGCATAATTTCAGTTAGGGTGAAGAAAAACATTTGGCTTCTCTCCTGAGGCCACAAGAGGGCGCATCTAGCAAAATATTACTAATGCACGTTTATTCAAAGCATAAGATAACATGACTATCTGTGAAAAAAGTGCATAATGTTTAAAATAATGTTTATAAACCAATTATAGTTAAGTTGCTTAAACAACTATAAACAAAACCGCATCATGTTTGTATGCAGAGTTTAATACAAAGGGCGGAAAGCCAATCACACAGAGTACATTTTTAATTTAAAACATGAGATGCAGTGGGATGGGGGGAAAACCCGCCATAAAGTCTCGATACATGTTTTTTTTTTTTACATTTTTAAATTTGCATTAATTTTACATAGTTTTCTAAACATGCGGCTCTTTTGTGCGAGACGCGAGTGCAACGCTGATAGATATCCCTCTAGAAAGTGTGATAAATGTGTTCTGTGTGAACAGCTTGGTTTGAGTTTTGATGTAAACAAGATCTTCTCCACATTGATGTTCTCTCCACAGGACCCGTGAGTGCTTCCTCCTGCTCTGCTTTACACAACAACGCATTTCCTTTTTGCACGAAGCAACTGTTGTTTTGTTCTGTGATATTGCAGGAGAGCTTTTCATGCACTAGGCACTTATGTAATTCTTTCTTTGTAATTTTAGCTGTGCTTTTAAAATGCATTTGTCTCTGCAGAACTCTCACAAAGTTCCCCCGCCATGGCTGATCGCCATGCAGAGATACGGACCTCCACCCTCGTATCCAAACCTGAAGATCCCCGGCCTCAACGCCCCCATCCCTGAGGTCAGACACTGAGGAAGAAGTTTTCGAAATGCTACTTTTAAAAGTAACACTTTGCGTGATTGCCCTTATCATTGGAAAATTTAATTTAAATTTATGTACCTTTTTAGATTGCGTGTGTACGATGAATCATGTTTTTATGATCACAATTTCTGCTTCTTTCAGTTTGCTAAGCATAATCGTCTGCAATATTTGCCCACTGGCTTTTTTTTTTTTAATCCTGAGAACATTTCATTTTAATTTAGCATTTGCGTTATGTTGCATTGTGTAACAAGCCTTCACAAACTTCATGGTTGCAGTTGCCAGATTTCCATTTTGAGTTTAAATTGCTATTTTTTTCTTAACGCACACCTAAAATTTGAATGCAACGTTTTTGCATTCGAACGTGGATTTTTATTTTAAATTCGACGAATATTCGAAATTCGATTTTTTTTTTTTTTTTTTTTTTTGACCGCCCTATTGTGAGATGCAAAAGCGCCTTATTGCTTTCACAAATAAAAAACACATATTAAGGACACACTTTTCATTTCTGCCGTGTTTGATTCTGTTGTTTGGTTTGCCTGATAATGTTGACAGGCCAAAGCAGAGGAGGAGGAAGTAGATCGAACCCCGTGGGGCGAGCTGGAGGCGTCTGATGAAGAGTCATCTGAGGAAGAGGAGGAGGAGGAGAGCGACGAGGAGAAACCAGATGAAACGGGCTTCTTCACACCAGCAGACAGGTGCTGCTCGTCTCTGATTGGCTTGCGTGTGTTTGAGACTTGAAGGCTCACAGATGTCTGCTCTTTCTCGTTGTTTTGACAGCGGGATGATCACTCCGGGCGGCTTCTCATCCGTTCCTGCTGGCATGGAGACTCCAGAGCTCATCGAGCTCAGGAAGAAGAAGATCGAGGAGGCCATGGACGGGTGAGTGTCTGTGCGCAAATTTAAGGGCTCTTCCACTGTAAATCCTGAAATAATAATACAAAAGTCTTTTTTTTTCCAACAGTTTATTGAACCTTTAGACAAAATGTGAAAAAAAAAAAAAATTTGTTTACATATTTGGTGCATCAGGCTTATATGTGACCCTGGAGCACAAAACCAGTCATAAGGGTCAATTATAGTCATCTGAAAGCTGAATAAATACGTTTCCATTGATGTATGGTTTGTTAGGATAGGACAATATTTGGCCGAGATGCAACTATTTGAAAATCTGGAATCTGAGGGTGCAAAAAAAATCTAAATATTGAGAAAATCATCTTTAAAGTTGCCCAAATGAAGTTTCTTAGCAATGCATATTACTAATCAAAATTTATGTTTTGATATATTTACACTAGGAAATTTACAAAATATCTTCATGGAACATGATCTTTACTTAATATCCTAATGATTTTTGGCATGAAAGAAAAATCAATAATTCTGACCCTTACAATGTATTTTTGGCTATTGCTACAAATATATCCGTGCTACTTAAGACTGGTTTTGTGATCCAGGGTCACATATAGTCTGATATAGTGAGAATATGGAGGGAAAAACACCTCTGTTTTATTCAGAGACCCAAACTGAGCAAAAATATGCAATTTGGTGCAGGTGCTGATATTTATATGCCCAAAAAATATGAAATTCTAATGCTTATGTAAATCAGTGTGATCTTTATAACAGTATAGCAGATACTTACATATAATGCATATAAATATCAGTTGTCACTTTGTATCTCCCAATAATATGTCTCAGTAAGATGAGATTTGCATGCCTTGTTTTATGATCAGAACATATAATGCAGTGCAATACAGTGATGATTGACAGATGAACAAATAAACAGTTTTCATATTTGATGCTCACATTTGAACACGATTTTTCTGTAAAATGATGTCTGGATAATCAAGTAAACCTAAGTAAATGTTCATCTTGAAATATTACTAGCAAAATAGACATTCTAACGTAGGGATGTAACGGTATGAAAATTTCATATCACGATTATAGTGACCAAAGTTATCACGATTATCAATATTATCACGGTTTTGTTAAATTTAGATGGAAATGTTCAAAAAGAACTGATACACACATTGGACAGGATTTACCGCGAGTTTTCAAAAGCGCGATAATCAAATACGGTTTTGATGATAATTAAATTTTAAACGATAATACTAACCGTCAGGGCATTTTATCGTGATTTATCGTGAAACCGGTAATCGTTCCATCCCTATTCTAACGTTTACTTTATAAAAATCAGTAAAGATTTGACGGCATAAAGACATGTAAAGCACGAGTTGAAGGTGGCCGTTTTTATAATTATATTAAAAGGCTTGCTTTACTTGCTAAAAAGTCTAAGCCATCTATCAGACGACAGAAGGCATGGAGTAGATTGTGTGCAAAGTTTTGAACATGTTGCTCATTTAGAGACCTTAAAAATTAATGTATCAGATATGATACAGTAGGCTTTACAGGGTTAATTAGTCTGAAAGTGTATTGTGTGCATTGTTAATGCTTTTTGTGAGACTGACAAGCCCTCTACAGCACCGTTGGCTTGATTATTCCTCTAGTGTCGCAGAAACCTCATTTTTAAACTTGCTGTGATGCAAAAACTAATGGCATTTGTGCCTGATGTCTGTCGCAGTGGGTAAAGATGTGGGCTGTTCACCAGACGGTTGTAGTTTAAGCTCTTCAAGTGCTGATTGGTGAACTACCAGCATCGTCAGGCTCAAGCACTTCAGATAAAAGCGTCTGATGAATCGTTGCGCATGTAACTCGTGTTTGTGTGTGTTTTCAGAAACGAGACGCCTCAGCTGTTCACGGTGCTGCCGGAGAGGAAGGCGGGGGCGGTCGGGGCCGCTATGATGGCGTCCACACACATCTACGACATGTCTACGGTACGACTGCGTGCAAGAGATGGATGCATGTCACAGTTCATTGTCTCAGAGCAGTTTTGTTTTGCTATTCTTGGTACATCCCTAAAGAAACGCACAGGATCTGAATGCACACTTTCACTTTAACATCTATATACATTTAAATCTGAAATCTTGGTGATTTTAAAACGATGCACATTTTAATGCATTAGGCATCAATTTGAACTGATCTTCATTTTAATGAACCAATATCAATTCCTAAATCCCATTTGATCCAATTTAAACACCGGTCATCCAGAAATCACAATAAGCTTTATTACTTTTGATATGAACTTTGAGCTTTCAAATTCTATCAATTATACCACAAAATACAGATGATAAATGTGGTGACGCTTTTTATGTGGTGTGACCGATCGCTATATACGCCTCAGTTCAATTGGCACATGAACAAACTAACTCTGCAGCTTTACTACTAGTTACAGCATGACATAAACATGAATGAACATTAGAAGGGGTTTAAAGAAACAGACAACTTACTGAAAAATATCATGTGTCATGCAATCACTCAATCAGTATTTCAACCACGGAAAGATGTCAGTGAAACAGCTTCTAAACAATGTCACGTCACATGAAATTTACCTCAGGAAAGCCGTTCAGTGTCAATAAGCTTGTTTGTTAACTAGAAAATAAAAAAAACTCTAGGGGAACATTTTTATAAATAGATGCACTATATTACAAAATCATTATATTTTTACTCGACATGTTAGCGAGTCTTCATTATTTCATGTATATGAATAAATCTGTCGTGAAAGCAAATTATGGCAGCCACCGCTTAAATGTTTATTTTATTTAAATGAGGAATTTAAGTAGAAACGTAATTATATAATTAAAAGGCTGATGATAAACTGCTTTGTACAAAAATGTTTTTATGCAACTCCAGTTTTTATCCGAGTGGTGATTTATTACAGCGAAAAATAAATGACAATTGAATTTGGAGTTAATTTTAACCCTTAATATTGTAGTAATGTTGTTCCACCTGACATGCTTTGTGTCGTTTACAGCATTAGTCGAGAGAAAAATTGACGTGTACAATTGATGTACGTTTAAACGAATCAATATCAAATCAGAATTTAATCGAATCATAAAATCTGTCAATATCCAGCCCTATTATGCATCATCTGCCCATTCATATTTTCAAAACCAAAACCAGATTTCTGATTAAACTTGAGATGAATCGGTGCAGAAATGCAAACTGGTTTGTGTGTTTTATAAGGATTCACCTCGCAGCCAGACTCGTATCCCAGAGTCCTCTCTGTGTGGTTGATTTGAATATCTAGATGGCAGATAACCTTTGCAGGCCTCTGATAGCAGAGCGCTGACTTCACATCTCCATCAGATCTCTCACAGCCATCACATGCAAATCACTCCGTCCGTATGAGACGCATCTGCATTTGAAATGACAGCGAGGAGATAAACGAGTGTGACGGCGGTGGAAATGTCAGCTATATAGCGTTTATATCACTGCAGATGTGTGTCTGTCATGTTAACATGCTGCCTCCCCTCTGATTGTGTGCTTCTCTCTCGTGCTGTTCGTGCAGACGGTGACGAGCCGTAAGGTGGGCGGAGTCTCGGGGCTGGGCGGAGACTCTCAGGCTGTGGAGGTGGCTCTGGCGCCGGAGGAGCTGGAGCTCGACCCCATGGCCATGACGCAGAAGTACGAGGAGCACGTCAGAGAGCAGCAGGTGGAGAAAGAGGACTTCAGCGACATGGTGGCCGAACACGCCGCCAACCAGAAGGTGACACACAATTTATAAATTTAATTTATTTATAATTTATAAATTTTATTTTTATAATTTTATTTAAAAAAAATAATGTTTTAAAGATATTAATGCATTTGTGTTTACATGCATAAACAGACATTTTTATCATTTTTATTTAATTTTTTTTGTAATCACACTGAGGCTAAATGTGCTTAATTGCCATGAAAATCAGTGCTACATTCATTAGGCTTTACTTTCTTTATGCCAGATTTTCAAATCTTTCCAAATTTTGATTTTAGGTAAATATGACCTCTGCATGTTTTTGAAATGCTTTGCAGAGGATGCTATAATAAAAAAAATTATTAAAAAAAAACATAATGAAAAAAAAAAAAAAAAATTGTAAGAATTCTAAAATCACTATATTAATTTCTGCACTAAATGGAGTGCAATAAAGAAACGTTTTTTTTGAGTAGAGCCACTTAAATGTCTTTGATAATATAAGGTGTTTTGTGTACCGTCTTTGTTTGTGGTCTTAGTAAATGGTTAGTGTGTTTTAACCTGTTTCCTAAAATATGTTTCTTCTCTCTCGTCCTCACAGCAAAAGAAGCGCAAGGCGCAGCCGCAAGACACGCGCTCTGGAGCGAAGAAATACAAAGAGTTCAAGTTCTAGGCCTGAGCTGCGGGAGACCAGCCCCTCTCATCCTTCATTTCTTATTCCTTTTAACTGCTGATGTCGTGTAGAAGCGCCCTTGTGTTTGTACGTCACATGACAGTGAGCGACGTTTTTCATTTATGCTCCATGTTTTTGTAAATAAAATGCTAGTCCGTGACAAACAGATGTTACAGTGTTTTATTTCTTTAACATTTCACCCACTTATTTTTTCCGTTTAGCTGATTCATGAGCTTGTTTATGAAAAGCTTGTTTTTGGATTGATGCTACTGATTTATAGGTGAATAGGAGTGTTTTCTCTAAATGAGTTTGTAATGCATTGGAGCTTTATACTGCAGTCTGCAGTGAGCCGCTCAGGCCAGCAGGGTGAGTGTCAGGAAGTCTGACCGTCACCTGATGTCTGGGATTTGCTTTGACCTACATAACACTTTCACTTCCACTTGACCTCAGTCGAGAGCAATCAAACACGGCTTCTCAGACAATAACACACTCATTTCCCTTCAAACACGTCGCATCGGTGGGCAAGATCCACTTTGCCACATTCCAGACGTCTTCATTTCAAGGGCTCGACTGTCATCTCAGGTCTTCATGTGTTTTGTGATCTCTGATGAGTAAGACATGAGGGATTCCTGAAGTTATGCTGGTTCTCACTGAAGGGAGTTTTGCACCGCAAATGCCAGTCATATTTGCTTATGGAAGCCCATTTCTGCCACAAAAGAAAAAAAAATCACGCTTTGGTAAATCACAATTATGACATTAAAAAGATATAATTATTACGTAATTTGACGTTATGAGACACAAAGTCATAATTAAAAATCTAAATTGTGAGGTACTAAGTCATAGATATGAGATAAAAGTAGGAATTATGACAATAAAAATGAGATAGAAAGTCAAAATTATGATTAAAAAAAAAAGTGGCAAAAAAAAAATCAAAATTATGAGAAGTCAGTTATGGCATATAAAGTAAATGAGATAAAAAGTAGAAATTGTGACAATAAAAATGGAACCACAAGATAGAAAGTCAATTATGACAGTCAAAATTATGAGATAAAAAGTCATAGTTATGGCAAAAAGTAAATGTGAGAAAAACTAGAAATTCTGACTAATTTAATTACAAGATAGAGAGTCAATTATGATAAAAAGTTCAAAGTATGACAAAGTGGAAATTATGAGATAGTCATAGTTATGACAAGAAATTACTAGAACATGTATAATTTATAAGTTATGAATTTTTTTTTTGTTGCTATTTTCATCATTTCAACTTATGTTTCATAATTATGACTTTTATAAGTATGACTTTGTCTCATAATTATGACCTTTTATCCTATTTGACTTTTTGCCATGATTATGACTTTTTACCTCATAATTATGACTTAAATCATAATTAGACTTTTGTCAAATTCAACTTTTTGTCATAATCATGACTTTTTTTTCATGATTTTGATTTATAATTTCAGATTTTTATCTCATAATTTCAATTTGTCAATGACAATGTCATAATTTTGACATATACGTTTGTCATAATTATGATTCACCAAAGCGTGTGTTTTTTTCTTATGTGGCAGAAATGGGCTTCCATGTATTTCATATAAAAGTTAGACAATCCTTTTGTTTTCTTAAAATGCACTTCTGCATGACTAAACTGTGATGCAAACCAGTAAACCCAGCGTTTTCAAAGCCAGATTGTAGTGACTCAACTAATTAGCGCTTTGATTTGAATAGCCACAGGCGTGGGAGCTTACCTTCCGTTTCAATCGCACAACATCGTCAGCGTCCTTAGGCTGTACTCGTTAAGAGATGAAGTCATAAACACAACACACACACACACACACACGTCTCAGGAGAAGCCCAGCTGTGTCATGCGTTGGTCAGCATCAGCTGGTCACACTCTCTCCATTAGATGCCCGCAGGGCTGAACGAGCTGATAAACATAGATGTGCTTTCATCACCAGCCTCCTCCATGGGGTTCCCACTGCTCACCGGACAAATAAGATCCGTTTGCCTGGAAATGTGTGACTAAACAACAGGTATTAGAGATGATGGGTTCACACTTGTAATCTCAGTGGCCTGTTGCGATGCAGGGGTCGTTTCTAACTGACTCTCAGTGCTGATGACGTGGACGTGTGTATTAGGACAGGACAGGATCACTGTCACATCCCGCACCGCACTGCAGTAATCCAGGCTCATTATAATGTGACTGATCACATGAGCAGCTCAACTAAGCAAGTTAGTGTTGACCTCAGATGACCTCAAGTATGGGTTGTATGTTTATTCAAATGCATGCACATTTTGACTTGGGCTGGCTTATTAATTAATTGTATTATAGTAGAGATGAGTTCAGCTTCCATTAAAGGCCTTTAATACCGTTTTTAACCAAAACACTTGATACAATTACTGATATTTAGAGTGTATGTTGACTGACAGATGGATATGTACAAAATATAACTAAAATATATATATATATATATATATATATATTATAATAGTGTATTTTCCATCAATGTATTCTGTCATTTGTTATTGAATGGTGAACTTCTTACAGCTACAATTTTATTTCATGTTTATGTTTGATAGATAGATAGATAGATAGATAGATAGATAGAAGATAGATAGATAGATA